CCAGTTATTCATATCCACTGCCTCTGTTATGTGTACCAAACCACACTAGAGCAATTTGATAACCTGTTCTTCATATCTACTGCATCTGTTATGTGGACCAAACTACACTAGAGCGCTCTGATAACCAGTTTTTCCTATCTACTGCCTCTGTTATGGGGACCAAACTACACTAGAGCACATTGATAACCAGTTATTTATATCTACTGCCTCTGTTATGTGGACCAAACCACACTAGAGCACTTTGATAACCTGTTCTTCATATCTACTGCCTCTGTTATGTGGACCAAACCACACTAGAGCACATTGATAACCAGTTATTCATATCCACTGCCTCTGTTATGTGGACCAAACCACACTAGAGCACTCTGATAACCAGTTATTTATATCTACTGCCTCTGTTATGCGGACCAAACTACACTAGAGCACTCTGATAACCAGTTATTCATATCTACTGCCTCTGTTTTGCGGACCAAACCACACTAGGGCACATTGATAACCAGTTATTTATATCTACTGCCTCTGTTATGCGGACCAAACCACACTAGAGCACTCTGATAACCAGTTATTCGTATCTACTGCCTCTGTTATGCGGACCAAACCACACTAGGGCACATTGATAACCAGTTATTCATATCTACTGCCTCTGTTATGTGGACCAAATTTTAACTACACTAGGGCAGTTTGATAAGCGGTAAAAAAGTCCTTATCTTGATAATATATTCATCATCTGAATACATTCACCAGTTTAACGACTACCTCTTTGGCACAATGTACTTGTAAAATGATTTTAATTGAATTTCACGTGGAACACCCTCTGTGCCAAGGGAATCCAATTTGTATAAATGAGGGGAGTGCCTCCTCCCCTGGGGATAGAAGGCGAGGTCTAAAATGGGAAATGGGAGTTAATCATTAAAAGGCTACTTCTTAAGCTAGAATGGAGGGTGTTTTAACCTAAGCCAAGACAATATTCTGTTGTGTAAACGAAGGAAGCTGCTACCCGGAGGATAGAGAGGGATCCAATAAGTAACTTAAATGTAACAAAATAAACAACTACTTCGTAAATACGAATGACAAGATTCTCACCGAATTTTCTCACAAAACACCTCTTGGCCAATGGAGTTCAATGTTTCATATATTAATAGTTAGCCCCCACCCTGGGGATCGAGGGATTTAGATCCAGATTGGGGTATACGATTTGTTTTTCAAAAACTACTCAAATTGAGCAGACGGACGGGCACAATACGGGAAATGGAACAAAGCCATTTGAACTTCTTCTGTAGATCCACATATCAATTCTACATGTAGTTATAAGTAATCAGTTCCTAATATATTGAGATTTTTATTTTTTTTATTCATGAATCTAAATCCATGGATAATAAGTGCAAATAAAGAAGAAAGTCAATTACAGAAATATAGCCAATACAGGGAAAATAGACTCCTGGAAAATGTTATCAAGATGAACCTGCTCGATTCGGTGCTCATTGGTAGAAATACGTTTTCCAATCGAGCTAAGCGCCGACCTATGTTTGAAGTGAAAATTCATTAACGAAATAATTTCACCGCCATTTTACGTGTGTTATGAGGAAAGTTTTCACTTGAATAAAAATAAGGGCAAATGATCCTCTCGAGAGCAGTTCTGGGTATTTTCGGGTTGTCTGAAATACACGATATCAGATTTGGTCTCTGGTTGTAGCAATTTCTCATTCTTAAGTTTAAAAAAAAATATTGCACTCATTATGCTGATAAAAACCTTTTTCACTTGAACCTTAAGATAAATCTAAATGATCCCAAAACACACCTGAACACTTGAGTAAAAGTACAAATGACACGGAAAATAATTTCCCTTACCTGAAACAAACAGCATATAAGCTCATGCATTTGCGCAGTAATCCATCCGAACGACTTCTGAATACTAAATAAGCCTTTCTTTTTTCTCTTTGTGTGTGTGTGTGTGTGTGTGTGTGTGTGTGTGTGTGTGTATATGTGTGTGTATATGTGTGTGTGTGTGTGCTTTCCAGTTAATGCTTTATTTATATTTATGTTTCTGGATGTAAATATATTTACACTTGAATGTGTCGTTAGCTATTTGATATTGAGATTCTTGCTATTCACAACAATTTTCAAGATAGCAGGATTGTTTGTCTATTCTTGTCCTTTACATTTGGCATTCCTTCCTGTCGTCTAGCTTAATGGGTTGTATACAAATCGAGCTAACATTGTATGATTTCTGTTTCATTTTTCTATCCTTAAGTTTAATGCATTGCCATATTTCTATTTCATAACAATGTTTTATGTCTATGCAGTTAATGAGAGGTAGTTCTTATACTACATGACTACTTATTTATCTACATGTAGTGAATTGTTGCGCTTCTTGATAGGTTTCCCTCAAAATGAGAAAATTGTAACGCTAAGAATAAGAATTCCATTTTGTAAACGTACAAAATAAATATTACCAAATCTTCCAAATTAAATGGAGAAAAATATGTAAAATCAATTAAATAAACTTACACTCACATATCTGTTTCTTTTTAAACCAGAACACACTTAGAACGATCGTATTGAATGTTTTCGAATGCATTAAGAACTACAGTGCCAAGAAAAAATAACAGTTGCTCTTGACAAAAATTGGCGTGATAAATATATAGGTATCTTACATAAGGAAACCCTTAGAGTATACTGCTGTCTTCTGGGGCTCACCTCTCTCCTTCTTATCGATCAATATGAAACTATTCAAAAAGAATCTGCAAATATTGTTACAAGCGCAACGGAATATGACAGCTGTATACAGCGATTTATGTTGTAAAAACCGTATATTTTGTATTTGCGTACTGCAGAGTTATCTTCTCTTGTGAACAGGTATTGATTGTTACGTCATTGGTTTGTGTGAGAAAATTACGTCGTTTTCTCAAAAATTGATGACGTTACTCTCACAAACAAGTGACGTAACAATCAATACCTGCTCCCAAGAGAAGATAACTCTGCAATACGCAAAGACGGAATATCTAAAGGTACTCTAATTCTAGCGCTTTTCGCACTTTGAATCTTAGGCTAAATTATGACAGCACTAATTGAAGTTTCTGTTTATAGTTCTGTTTGAATTTCAATTTGAGTGCGATACTTTTTCAATGCGCTAATCTATTGAAATTCAATAATTCGCTCAAATTTGAGTCCGCTAAAATGAGTATTTTTACAGTGTGTTATACATTACTATAGTATATTCATGATTAATTAGCTAGTCGTTAAGCGTCAAAATGCAGGTAGAATTGTAACTGTACTCTCTGTGGATTGATAGATGTTAAACACTTTGTAACTGTATATACAACTGGGACAATATCGCAATAATTTTGTAACCATATATGTATAATTATTGCTTAACTTCTGATATCCCTGGGTGAGATTGTCTTGCAATTGGTAAGTAACGTTGCGATTAGACGGACCTTCATACCGACCTAAAAGATAACTCTACGAATAATCTCTTTTAAGTGGAGGTACGGTTCATAATATTCACACTTCAATACAGTAGTAGACCAATTTGGATTTCAATCTTTTTGTCCACTAGCATCGCCTAGAGTATTAGAAGGACAAACAGATGTATGATATAGTGTAATTCATTTTTGACACACTTTATCCTTCATTAATGAATTTTAAAAGTGCAATGACATATTTAAAGTTGGTATAATGAAGCAGAAATCCCGTTATTCCTTTGGAATAACATGCTTTTGGCCCGACGAGTCCTAGAAGGACAAACAAATTATTTGGTACTGTTTAATTCATTTTTGGAATACTTTATATTTTATAAAAACAATTTAAGGTGAAATAATTTTGTGTGTTTTTTATGTTCATCCTCTACATAACGGAAAGTTGGCAAACCCCATAGTGTGTTAATTAACGTAATATATCTAAGAAAATAAATTCTTCAAAAATATATAACAAACAGTTATGTTATCTACCATATAGTTGGACACGTTATCACAAAACAATGGAAAGCTGTAAAATAGCTATCAATTGGATGTTTTTTTTCCAATATTCCTAGTACTACTATATATTTTGAAACTTACAACAAAGAGATGATACTCTTACCATAAACAAAATTCTCAACAAAACGTTATGATATTTTGTAAGAATATGATGTTAACATCTTTATTGTGATACTGTGCTACAAGATTCCTAATTACTTACATATTTGCCTTTTGAAACATTCCTCAATGGTATATACCGAAGAAATCATCAAAAAAATAAAAGTCGTTATCAATACAGAAAGCGAGTGTAATACTCAGATCACAGACACAGTTACATTTTTGTAACATGTTTTTCACAATTATATACAAGATTAAAACCGTCGACATCAGAAATACAATTATTTTTAGTGTCCTCGATATAAGATGCCTGTCTCTGAACACAAAACCACCAATCCAGAATGATGAACTCTTGTAGATGGAATGCAACGAGTAGAATTATAGGACTGTTCAAGGTTTTTTCAAGGTTGAATTGCAAACTATGTTACAGTAGTTATGGATTGGAAACTTTTCTGGCATAACTATAGCATTGATAATTTATTTCCGAAAGAACACCATAAATTGCGGACTGTTTGTGAGAGAAAAAGTGTTCTTAGTGCAAAGAAACACCAAAGACAGTGGGACAGTCAGAGTAGAGATATCTAGTAAGTTACCTACAGTGGGACAGTCACAGTAGAGATATCTAGTAAGTTACCCGCAGTGGGACAGGGTTCCTTGATAAATAACCTTTCATGAAAAACATCAAGGTCTTTCACAGTCTTGGCAAGAGAGACCTGTATCACGGACACAAGTGTATATTGGACTCGTTGACCTGTTGACCTCAGAAATATAGAAAAATTGGTATCCTCGAAATTTGATGCCTATGCTTGCATCTCGACAGAAGCATTTGTTAACCAGTACATAACGTTCCTATTATCGTTGACAATATCAATAAACAAGACAAGTCCAATTGACATTCGTATCATCGATACTGGGAAGCATTTTTCACAGAACTGCCGTAAAATACACGATGGCCAAAATCACGGAGACAATGGAGAAGAAGCAGAAGAAGAAGAAATCCAAAGCCTTTGAGAAGTCAGCCCATGTAAAACATTCGGTTTCGTCGTCCTCGTATTTATTGCTTGCATCCGGAGGAAAACTAATATCTGAATACTTCTCCGCGTCAATCAGGTTTGGGCATGAGTGGACGCTGTTCTCCGTCTTCTCGCTGTTAGATGACGTTTCCGTATTTTCATTTTCCGTTGCTGGTTGCACCCGTCTCAAAGACAAAATAGACAGCTTTCTCCTGATCTTGATGACACGACGTAAGCTCGGAGGCAGGTTATCTTCGCGATGATGCAGGCGAACCTGGGCAGCGGTCAATATAACGATTGCAGACCCCTTGACCAGTAGGCTGATCAAGTACACGGCCAGGTATGCTGTGGTCCGAGAGTTGACCGGTAGAGAAGTACTGACGATGGTGAGAAATACGGCAAACGCCAAATGGACAGTCATGCTGTACCCCATTTTTTCTCCACTGTTGACAGGAATGACGAATGTGAAAATGGCAAGAACAGAAAGTAATATGATAGGACAAATGAGAGTAAGCAAATAAAATTCAGGTCGGCGGTGCAGAATCAAAGAGACGACGACGTCACCATAAGTTAGCTCGATCTTTGTTGAGGTGAGTTCCCAAACCCCGTTGGGTTCGTATAACTGCGTATTGAGTGCCGGATTCTTTAACGCGAATTTTACGTCTTGTGGCTGCGATGTCCACATCCTAAAAATCAGCTTGCAATTTTGATGGTCAAAGGGAAAGTTTGTTATGTCTATGTCACACTTTGTCTCAAATACTTCGAACGGTTTCCAATATATTCTTCCACGATAACTCACTTTCACAAGAATCACGTCATCACCAAGCTCCTTCAATTTAGTGAAACCGTTTTGTAAGGAGATATCCGGTTTCCATACAGCGTTCTGAGGCACGTAAAAGTACGAGATGTCGTGAAAGTCTTTTTTGTTCCATGACAGGAATGCGTCGTTCCATGCTAGCTCAAGATATGCCGTGGTGGCTAATTTCTCCTCCACCTCATCCAGTTGGTTGATTCCTTTTAGAAAGAATGCAACAAGTACAATTATAGATTGGTTTAGGTTTTTATAAGGTGGAACGACATTCCGATAGGAACGAGTAATGAACAACTCGTCGTGTAAAGTCTTAAGGTCATCACCCGTCTGGGCAACAGTGGCATGCACCATTGACACTAGCGCCAATAGAACCTGTAACGTATGTCGGTTGACCATCGTCACAATGCTGCGTCTTTTTGTGAAGAGTAACGTACTTCAAAATGCCGACGGATTCATGCTTACAAACCTTAATAAATATTTTATTTTCAAATGTGGTTTGCGTCAGACCGTAGATGCGATTGGTTCTCTATATTATTATTTATCAATTTCACACCCAAATGCTTCAATGTTATCTATGTTTAAAACTTGCAAAGCTTTGTTAGGTTAACACGTTATAAAACGCAGGTCTGTGCTACGTATAATCCTAGAAACATACGAAAAAAATCACTCATTTAAAAAAAATCATTGTTTAAGATAACAAGGCTCAAACGATTAGCTTGAAAAAACAGGAAAGCCATTATAACCTCGGTGTATACTTATGATTCTGATCAAATGACGGTTCCAAGGGACAACTGACAGTGAAACCTATGTTGTCTTTTCGTGTGATTTATGTTTGCTTATATTTAATATCAATATGTATACTATGTACTTCTGATAAGAAGTGATTTCTAAAAAATGATAACAAATGACAGCATCTGTTAATATCATTTCAGTTCTCAAAATGGATCTATGCTTTGAGTATATACATGCAGGAGTTGCAACGACACATTTCATTGGTCAATTTTTGTGACCAATCATATGCTAAGCACGTGCTATTGCAAACCAAACAATTGTGTGCAATACACACGAAGTGTACCCTTGTGTAAACAAACTGAACTCAAATGCCAAGACGTTTTAGAAATGGACAAACATATAATATTCCTATGTTCACAGTGCAAATGTTCGTCAGTGCATATTCAGTTAATATTCCAATCAATATTGATACATTTGTATGTTTATATTAAATTGCAACTTGCAGATTTTCAACAGTATTGTACATTTACATATAAATTCGTTTATTAAATGTATTTGTGTAATTTGTATTATTTGAAATGTTTTGTCTTTTTATCTGTAACTATACAAAGATAACTCACCCCCTAACACCTCTAAAACAAACACACACAAAACGAATAAAATGGACATATTTTAAAGGAATAAGATCATGTTCATTATGTATGCTTTGCACTGTTCGAAATTGAGAAAAAAACACAAAAAAACCCACCCCGACAACGTTTCACTTATCTCCTTTAGTAGTCTTAGTAAAAAAGAGTGTGTACGCTGCTCAGCAGTATATTATCTGTACCCTGGTATGAAGTCAGCACACTATAATGCAACAAAGAAGACACTTAATCAAAAGGGAAAACATCATGAACTTAAAGAAAAGTGATGAGGAAAACCACTGTTCCAGAAAAGTGGCATTTCCGGTACCAAATGTGGCAACAAAAAACATTAAAACTTTTAAAATTTCACATTTTTATCGTTACTTACAGCATCTACAGTAAAATTATGACACTCTGGCTTAGTCGGTAAAGTTGATTGGTCTAATCGAGTTGTTATAGCTACGGAGGATAAAAATAAGACACATTGTCTTCTCGAAGTATGTTTTATTAATCAACAAAGCTTCACTAATATATTTGAATGTGAAACTAAAGGATCGAGCAACTCAGTTTCTGAAAAAAAACCTACAACGGATTTGATAGAAATCTATTAAAACGTTTTCAAGTTAAGCACTTTTTATTCAATAAGACAGCATATGTTACATTAAACGGAGTGACAAGAAAGTACATATAAATCAAATAGACATCGCAAAAGAAATTATCCATCTCTTGTACATGCCTGCGGTACTCTGTAATTAATAAAATGTTGGTTTAAAGTTTGTGTCAACCAACAAACTGTTGTTTGACGTCATATCCATATAAAGGGTGATGTCATTTCAATGTTTTCACTGACATGTAACAAATCGTCTAGCGTGTAAAAAAAACCCAGTAATTGACGGTGAAATCAATCATTGCTAAAACGGGCAATGCTTCATCAAATTAGATTCTCAGAGTTCTATCTTGTTTATTCGCCAGTTTTCTGACTAAGAGTTGCAACCAATTGACTAAACGTTATATGCGAAAAACATTTTCATATAACTTTCCTTTTTCACGAATTAAACAATACCCAGACTTCGTGATTATAAATGGTAAGCCTATCCAATGCGCTGACGGTGAAACTTGTTATGAAAGTATCATTTTTACAACACATAATTACAAAATTCATTCAGCACGCCCGCGACTTTTTAAGCCTCTGCATACATACTTGGGATGTACCATAAATTAATACAACAGAAATAACTTTTCAATTCCTTGACACAGTCGAAACGCGTTGGACTCTATTCTTTTAGAGTAAGTGAATTTCATATCACTACCATCACCGCGTATGTAAAGCACTTTGGAAATTATTGATGTCATAACATCCTTCAATGAATAATTATTGACGTAAAAGCCTTGAAGGTACTAGTGCATATTAACGCAGAGATGGGTAGTTGGCAAAGAACATGTTCTGTTTGATTGTCTGGGATTGTATGTATTATATAAACATATGTGTCCTGCATCCTCACACTTGAAACTGTGTATTCGTTCAGATTCATTTTAATCGTGTTCTTTATCCATTAAATCAAAATTCGTGTTATCAGATGCCAAAACGAATACACATGAACACATTCCAACAAAGGGATAATAGCACGCCATTGAGAAAAATAAAAGCCTCTTTGGGAAGATTAAGGTAAAATCTCCACTGAATAGAGACCAACCATTAACCATTACGCTCGGTTAGAATCAACACTAGTACAGCTCTACCATTTGTCTTTTATGAAAACAATATTTTTTATCCATTTTAGGAGTGTTCTGGCAAATTGGTACTATTCATTTTTGGAATATTTTCGTTTACATTTTGATGGAATTTGACCGGCCCTATCGTATTGAAGAAAACTACATACTTCTGACGTCACCAGCCAGTAAGCCAGTCATGATATAGTGCGTTCCTACACAGATTGTGTTATAATTAAGGTAAGTATAATAATATGTTAAATAAGTGTTTTTCCTTTTGCATATTGACTTTTCTGTATTATGTTTCTTTCTGTAGTTGTTCTCATCTCGGAGATTTATATTATTTGACTTCTCCCATAATCTAATGGCTTGCCTTCATGTCTTCTTTGATTTTTTTATGATTAAAAGTTTTTTTTAAATTTCTTATATGGACATATGGTTCAATTAGTTTAAACCGCCATCAGAAAATCAAGAAATAAATAAATATCAAAATGGACAAAATGATTTAGAAATAATACAATTGTTTATGTCAATCTATCTCTTAAAGCTGCTCACACAATGTCCAGGGGACACTGTACTTCACATAATATTTCCACACAATGAAACTTCAATATACCGACCCTCGTTAATTGACCGCCTCGCGTACCGCCCGAATATAACATGATAGTCTTTTATTTTGTTTTTGTTAAGTTTCCTTCGATATACAATGTATCACTGAATTATATAAATATAATTAGGTTTTACTACCTATCATCTATTCAACAGCTTGAAAAAATGAATACATTTATTAAGTGCATATCTTTTTCATGTGCTATTCAGGCTGTTTTAGAAACTCTTGATGTTTCATAATTATTTATGTTATAATAGATTGTAAAATTTATGTCGAAGCTATTCATAATTTTCTATTTTACATTTAATATTTATTTGTTTTTGATACTTTATTGAAATCAAGCCCTTGCGATTCAGTTGTTAATTTGAAACTTACATACTTAGTATATACATGTATTCTCATAAACTGGTTAATGTGTGACTGTTAAGAGAATTCGTATCGATTATTCATTTTTTTATACGTCTAATTTAACGAAATAAAACTCGTTTATAGCCCGGATGTATACATGATATCCAATGAGCTGATAGTCAAATTTCAAGACCAGTAGCCAGATACGTGGTATCTTTGTTATAAAAAATGTATACCTGAAAGTGTACTATGTAATATATAATGCCAGTGATTTGTCACCCGATAAATTTACCACAAGATTGATACATGAAATTCCAACCATCCGGCTGTCCGGTGTTACTCTTTGAAACAAAAAACGTATGCCTGGAGTTTAACATCCAAATCATCACAACAGTAGGCTATGCCGCAACAACAAATATAGGTTACCACATGGTTGTAGGCTGTCGTCTAATAAGTTAAGATACCACAAAGCGCGTTTACCTATCACAACGACTCGTAAAGAGCACTTTGTCTATTAAAGAATTGCATTTGGTAGGTTCTGCTGAGTTTGCCTTTAACATTGAATTGTACTTGTTATGTATGGTGAATTTTACTTCATGTTCGCCTATCATATATGCGTATTTGCTGTTTATTTACGTATGACGTAGTGTAACAATAATTTGTTGTACTTGCCAGATATGTTGTATTTTACCTTGAATTCGCCTATTGAAACAGCCTTGTACTTATTAGGTATGTTGTATATGTTGTTGAGTTTGCCTCTCATATACTTGCATTTATTAGGTACTCTGCATTTTATCTCGAGTTCGGTTATTATATAGTACTCATATTTCTTAGGTATGTTGTATTTGATTTTGTGCACAATAGGCTCGTATTCGGTAGGTACCTACTAAACATACTTACAGCACAAGCTGTGTTTGAGGTATATCGGATTTATTGTAGTGAGTTTTAATAAGTACATGAAAATCCCATACCTAGGTTCGAAATATAAACACATACAGGTGCGTTCTAACAATTATTTATTATGGAGAAAGTAGCATATGAACTGTTTAATGATCTAGTTATTTTTTATTGTCAAAACGACGTCGATCATTTGAGGATGTCTTCATTTACAATATTGTGTTATTATTGAAAATCATGGGATCCCCTTAGTAATGCCAAAAACGGTTAACTTAGTGTTGGAAACTGTGTTTTGTTTCTGACACAACTATCGCTTTGATGAATCATTCTGATAAGAAAAACATAGCTGAGAGACTTTTATGAGAAATGATAAAGATGTGGTAAAAAAATATTTTATCAACAAAGACTTCTGAGTGGGGAAAAAATCTATATCGGGATTCAAACATTGGACTTCAGAATGTTATACTATCGTTCGAATCGAATGAGGTACCTCGTCAACGGAAGTGTCGTGGCCCAATTGTGCTACAGTTATTGTCAAACGGAAGTAAAGGGACCTTACATCATATACGAAAACCCACAATTAATTTGGACCGAGATCGTTAGGAAGAAATTCTCCGATACCCACTCTATCTTCTTCCAATCCTTGGACGTTGGATAAACATGCAAGGAGTTGGTAAACATTCTGATATTGCCTACATGTGGGTAACCTCCTGAACATTCAGTCCTGGCCTGTCTTTGAATTATGAAGTCGTGTAAACATGCTTTGTACCGGGATATTTCATCATCTTTGATGTTTCATAACCATGCTTCCCCCTTTCTGGAAAAGTAATCATATATTTTAACACAAACCTTTCGTTGTCCCGATAATATAGGACCGTGGAGGAATCAAAGTTCCCTTACTCGTGATTGCTGGTTATAATGCTTATTTACGTCCCATTGCTTGATTTACAAATTGCAAAAAGAAAAGAAAAAAAGAAAGAAAGAAATAGACTATTCGGCAATCCTCCAGTCTTTAAACAATTTGAACATAAACGATTCAGATCCTATTCGCGCTCCCATACAGGCAAACAAGATTGATTAATATAAGTTTAAAAAAAAATAGTTTTTTAATCGTTGTACAATAAATTGAATTAATGATTATTATACAGTATATATATATTGTTATTTTTTTTATTTTTTTTTTATTTTTTTTCAAAATCTTAAATGCTCGAAGATTCCCAATCCGTAATGTCAGCGTTAATTCAACCGATTTTAATACCACAGCGAAATGTGTTCTAAGATCACTTACCCACTGATTCCAATTACCGTTAAACCCCTTAAGCTTGTACTCGTGTACCCAACGTTACACGGCCCAATGTTACCGACATTAACTTGGCTGTCAGGTCGTCGTTATTTGGCATGAAATACTACTATTGTATGTTACGGGCCCAATGTGTCCAATCCTTTTGATTGTCATTCATCGATAAAATTTGTTTAAACGAATGCTACTCAGTGTAGATTTCTTCTCACTTCTCACTTACTTTCTGTTACTTGCAAGATATTAGATTACTTATATGTTGTGTACATCAATGAATGTATTGCACACCCTTGAAAGAAATACTGTCCTTTTTGTTGAGTATAGCAGGCAAACATAGCATACCCTTATCACTTGTGGATACAAAAGCTTGAATTAAAAAGGAAATACCAGCAATAAACTACAACAGAACCATACAAACAGCAAAGCAAAAGTAAAAAAAATATGGATCCAAAAAGGAATAAGGATACTAAATATAAGAATGAAGCTTTGAAAATGTATGTTTCCATGAACAATTAAAGCAGTAAATCAACAAAGGAATAATGGCTAAACGAATGACTCAATGAATTAATGAATTAAATAATGAATGAATGAAGTATGAAAAGCTGATAAAAGACCATGAATGTATGAATGAATGATTGAATGATTGAATGAATAAATGAATAAATGAATGAATGAAAAAGAGAGAAATCATTTATACATATATTAGATTACTGAGGGTTTTTTTTTATACACCATTGAATGTAGTGCATATTTAGTTATGCATGTTTATGTTTGCATGAACAATTCATGGAGTAAATGAACAAAGATGTAATGGCTATATGAATGAATAACTGACCGAATGAATAAAAGACGAATAAATGAATGAAATATGAAGAAATGATGAATGACAATTATAATAAATTGAATTAATGAATAAATCAAAAAGAAAAAATAGCATATACATATATATTATTACGTGATACATAATGATAATGATAATAATAATAATATACAGCATTTGATAAAGCGCCCTATGTACCTAACATAAGCCAATCTAAAGCGCTTTACGGTACATAGATATACAATTAATACAATTAGCATATACGTAAATCAATACAATGTTGAGGAATTTGCAGGAGCTGCTTTATCAGGCGCTGACAACTAGTAATATGCCACCTGGCTAATATCTCCCTATGTGTGTATAACTGCGTGTGTGCTGGAGATGTAATGTGTTCTGTATAGTGGGACCGTGCTTTTAACGGTATCATTTATAGTACCTCACTTGAATGCTACAGCAGTACTGCAACATCCATCTCAGACCATTTTATACTCCACCTGGATTGTTGGAGTTGTGTGGGCAGGAGAAAATACATGTGTTGGATTCAGCTCTAAAATTCTGGAAATGTTACCATTAGTTTAATGCATAATAAGGATACACTTGTTCAAATTAGCGATTATCATTTAACAAAAAAATCGATGTGGCTCCAGGGTGATTCACGTTTTCACTTGTTGTATCCTACTAATGTATGTTTTTTAGTATAATGTTTCGTCTAAACAAGCATAATACGCGCCTTGACAACTGATTTCGTATCTTTGTTTTTGATGTAGTGTTAAAATATCTACATTACAATGTAACAAATGCACCCAGCGTAAGAGTGTGTTCACTGTATTTATACATAATTCATGTACTGAAGTTTATTTGACATTTTGTAAAATGCCGTATGAGACATGAAGGGGACATGCATTGTTACCTTTCCTGTTCTGCTTACTGTAAAAGTACATATTTTAGCGAGCTCAAATTAAGCATACTATCAAATATGGACCGATCATATAAGAGTTTTGATGAATTGGCGTACTCACAAAATATGCAACAGCAAATTATATACAGAAACTTACAGCGCAATCATAATTAAGGGCAATGTTTGAAGCGCAAAAACCGCTAAAATTTGAAAACCGCTTGTGCGTTTACTGTCATGTATAGATTGCTTTTCTCCTGTTTTGCTTTGCTATCTGATTCCTTTTTATACTTGTTTAGGATTTTTATTTTTATTTACTTATAATGCTCATGAAATATCTTGTATTTGTATCTAAATTTCGTTTCATTGAAAAGATTTAACGTTAATTTTATCAAAATAGATATGGAACGTTCTCTGTGAAAGACCAATATAAATCCCTAAAGTTGACCTGAAATACTAAGAAAAGTGCCACATGCGGTGCAGGAATTACCCTTGAAACAACATGTTTGCTTTTTTTTCCCATTTATAAGGGTTGATGATGTCTGTCATTTTGTTTTGGTGTCTCCTAAATCCCTAATCATATCTTCTTGTATTGAGCTTGTGTTTGGATGAGTGAAATAAATATTTAATATACAAAGTAAGGAAACACCTGCTTAAAAATGTAGCATTCTGTATGCGGAAAGTCAAAAATTGAAATGAACAACTGAAATATCTTGCATGTTTTCTAATGATGGCTATCGACGAGTGAAACGTGTAGGCTGTCGGTACGGCGACATATACCAAACCTTGTAACTTACAAAGAAACAATGCATTAACACTGATCCGAAATAGGATTAGATCAATGCTAATAAGCCTTTATGGTAGCATGGTTCTATACGACATTCTAAAAGTGTATATGATCTAAAGGGCGATTAGTGCCCCGGGGACGGGGTCACAGAGTGATAGGGTACTCTAAAAATGATAAAATGTTCACCTGGGCGAGTAGAACAAACCCTCCATTACGATTTAAAGAGGTGTGATATTTAAAGTTCGATTTTATTATGTACTTTGTCATTTTTTTGTATACTCTTTTGATAGATATTTCTTTATGAATTGATATTGATGTGTCAAATGACCGTCTATTGACGTCGTATCCGCTCATAAATCTGTCATAGATACAAATATAGAGTACACGGCACAGGAAAACTGACTACAGTATCCTGGATCACACATATTGAGACTATATGACCACATTCAGATAGGTATCATTTACAAATTATTCTTAAAATAGTACAAAATTTGCTTAAACAATTACCTCTAATTATACATACAGACAATTGTTTGCATGAAGCAGCAATCATACAAATGCGAAATTAGCAGTTATGAAACATCTTTTGATTTTAAGCAAGAGAAAAACACTGTTGAGATGATTGTTTCAAATGTCTTTTTGAGTCGAGCAATATATCCTCTAATCATTAACGTGTAAATTACATGGTTTTTGATCTGTCTGCATTATCGGTATCTCACGTGAGGCTAACAATGCTGTTTCTGACAACTTGGTGTGATACCTACTGTGAAGCTATGCATTAGTGGGTTTTTTTATTTGACTGGCGAAACGATTGTTGTCTGTGTTAGATAGGATCGCCCAAGGTAATTGTTGTTGCGTGCTAAATTTACTGTCTATATCAGATTGAGCTGTTGAGCATTTTTGCTTTTGTTTAATCCGTCGATAATCCGAGGTTAGAGGAACCCTTGACCCCAACCACGTCCCGCTTTTAAATTAACACGAACAATGTACACTAGGTTAAATTTCAAACTCAAAACGGATATGTCGATTTTTTTCATTGCTAAGAAATGTGTATAAAACATAGAAAATAGGAAGAAATTATGCATTTGACACAAATGCGTTCATTTGGTATTGCACGTTGAAAAATCAGAAGATTTCAAGTCTGCTATTTCGAACGAACATGGTATGTATGCAACAAAAATATCTGTCACCATGTTTTAAAGGAACATATTTATTTAACAAATAAGGAGCAACATAATTTTTAACATTAATCAACATTTAATGCATGTTATACAAAAATAAAGCATATATTAAGTATGGTAGTGCTATTTCGAGACTCATTTTAACCTCAGTGGTTTAATACAAGTTACTCGATAAATCAGAATGATACTTGAGTTAAAGACCCATTGTTATGGTAAAGCCCACCCATTACCACCCACCTCAAACAGACGTCGGATATCACCTGGGGATTAAAACATGTTTAACTTTGTAGCGTTAAAACGTCCCTACAAACACCGTACTATTTATATATACATTTACCTTTCGGCCTAAGATGATCGATTAAAAATCACACGGATACTATTGGGTTGTGAAAGATTTCTTACCGACCATCTGGACCTTGGAGATATCAATATATATTGTGTGTTTTGTTTGATAATGTAAAATGTAAAGGCTACTCAATGTGATATATATGAAATTTAAAGACTTTGTGAGCAATGAAGCTACAATTAAGGAATCTGTTACTTAGCAATTTGAGGTAAGTGTAAATTCTATTCATTTGCAGTACATAAAAAACATTATTTAACACATTGGTTGTCCTATTTACAGGCAGTGTATACGAAATAATACCTTTATAAAGCTTCTTACGATAGACTTACAGTGTATGTCAAAACGAAACAGCAGTTTATGATATGGACATATAGGTGTATCATAACAATGGCGTTGTTAACTTTTATATACAATTGCAGTGGGTGATTCCTAATATAACGGTAAATTTACAACATTGATTATAAATACTTTTACCTTTTCGTTTATTTTTTATTCATATTTTTACATTTTTTTTCTTTTACATATGTTTGTTAAGGAATGGGTAAGTGACATATTCAAGATTTGTTATAGGGCAAGCAATTCATCAGTGCTTTAATCTATTTGTATCCGGTATTTATTCCGTAAATGATATGCGTACATATACCGACAGTCATTTTTTTCTGATTTACGCATGTGATCTAATTCTTACGTTAGACTTATGTACATATTTCGAGTAATTTGTCATGTTTTGTCCTTCTGGTATTACATAATAGAAAATGTTATACCTTTGATATCATATTATAGAATATGTTGATACATCATTTGTGTAATAGAACATGTTTAAAATTAATATTATGTAATAGACTATGTTCATAATTTTAATATTATGTAACAGAATATGTTCATACACTTAACATTGTGTTTTATAAAATCTTAATAATCTTAATATTATATAAAGAGAAAAACATTTAAATATTCTTGGTATACTCCTGTAATTGTATAATAAAGTATGTTAGTACTTCTGATATTATGTTATAGAGCATGTTGATACTCTTTATATTATGTCATAGAGCATGTTTATAATTCTGATAATATTTAAATAAAAAAGGTTAAAATGGTACTTAAATGTAAGATAACATGTTTCATACTTAAGATTTTATTTATAGAACATGTATTACTTCTGATATAATATAAATATAATGTAACCTTTTTAATACATGTGATCGAATGTTAAAGACCATGTTTCAGACCCTTTAATTATCATTTAAGTCTTTCATTATCGTGTTCACTTTATTTTCTGTAAATGGTTTAGCAGTGTCGACGATAATTACAGTACTATATTTATCGAAGGCAGTAATTACTTTGAGCTATTTTTAATGTTTGCTTCTGCTTTATTTGAGATGAAACAAATACTTGTTTGACTGTATCAAGTACTAGGATACGGTGCTTCAACATAGGCATGTAACTGTGTATGCATAAGAATATGAAAACTTCTCATTTATGCAACAGAAAATATAAAAAAATATTTAGAAATTCCAAAAATATAAACCGATATATGTTCATTTTCAAAAATAGTTATTTCACTAATTTGTATTCTTTTCAATTATTCATAGTTTAATCAGTATCTGCTTATACCAGTATTTGATTTCGTTGTCTCTTCCGCGGTTCGCTTTTTTTTTTTAAAAGCGACATAGTTTAGAATTCAACCATATTTATATGGAAGGTGTCATCGATAACACAGAAGACGTTTACCTTAATGAATCTGTATGATGTCTTTCCTTTTGTATTGGTGTACAATCGATTTTTTTATTGATATCTTTCGACTCATGGTCCATAATTTCATTCTGTTGTGTTAACACTATAAGGTATATTTTGAAAAACTAATGTTGAATTTACTTGTTGCAGATCCTCTACCGTGCGTCGCTGATGCCTGACCCCCGGGGCTTGGGGACGAGCACCCTACAGGTGTGCCTCATCTTGTCCCTCAGATACGTTATACCAGGTAAGTAACACATACGTTAACCAGTTCCTCGTATCATGCTTCATCTCACCAGTAACACACAGCAAAATTATTTTGAGTTCCTTAAGGATCCATTCAAGTCTGATTCACAATAATCGAAATTTCTTGGGAGAAAAAAACTTTGACCTCGAATTATTTCAACTGGTAAACTCTAAGCAATATCAATGGCGACGTTTATATTTAACTCATCAGTGTGCCTTGTTTTTCCCTACCCCGGTTCCTCCTTAGAGAGCGCGACATTATTTGGATTTGATCTGATTTACACGACACATTTTGTTGATGAAACATTTGAAAAGTGTATTCAAATTTTAATACATTCAGGAATTAATTATTTTTATTATATTTTTCACAATACTAGCTCATTTTCACTTCCTATGCAATTATAGCGGAAATCGTTCATGCATTGAAAATATTTCTTTACTTGCTTAAAATAGTATTTTGTTTCGTTGACACTACCCCGCTCCTCTCTTCAAAAACGTGACATTAACTGGGTTTAACTAAGGTTAACATGGCGAATGTCACCGATGAGAAGCAGGGAATTTGATCACTTTTATTTATAACCTTGAATTGTATACATTTTGCTGTTATCTTGGGTAACAATATTCTTATGATTTTACTGATTTGAGATTTTTAAAAGGTTTTGTCATCTCATAAACCTCAGAAATATTGAGAGGTATTCAGCATACTCGTTGTTGATATTTTTAGATTCATTTTGAAATGTACACTTTGTGATATTAACCAGTGTTACACTTGATCAGCTGTATGAAAAGTCGTTAACTTTTATCAATCATCATGGCATTTCCCCCTTGATTTTATCATCCTTATTCCCTATGAATAAATAACCAAATTTCACAATCAGTAATATTGGTTCATTAGATTTCTACATATACTTTCATGATAAAATCAAACAAGACACTTCCACCATGATTACATAAACACGCATTCTTCTGTAGGATTTGCATTGTGATTTAAAATTAAACGGAAATCAGATCGAACAGAATTGAAATAAGTAGTTATTGTTATTTTGTCATAATGCCATGTTTTGAGAAATGAATTATCTAATGTAGCCAAAGGGTGCAAATTTGTAACATTATTAAGGTTGTATTTATATGCTCCCTTTTCACCTTCTTTGTATATTACACACATTTGGTACGTATATTCATACAATTAAGGGACTTTACGCCCCATCCCTCACCCATGTTTTTTCAATGTTGGTTTTGACCTACCGGTGAGTCATAGAAGCTGAATGATGCAATTGATTCATTTTGGCTTATTGTATATATTACCATTTTTTTAATGTTCATCTTTTAATCACAGTACCACCGATGTACGAAATATACTGGTCAATAGAATTAAAAAGTGTGTAATATAGACTAAACTAATTAAATAGATATCTTCTTTGGCTGTTTGATGCAGAGTTAATGATTTTTGGCATGCTTTTCCTATTACCAAAATTTTAAAGATACAATCACCTTCTATGTGTGTAACGGTCATCTTTATGTGTTCTTCTGTGTGTATTACGTTCGTCTTTATGTGTTCTTCTGTGTGCATTACGTTCATCTTTATGTGTTCTTATGTGTGTATTACGTTCATCTTTATGTGTTCTTCTGTGTGTGTAACGTTCATCTTTATGTGTTCTTCTGTGTGTATTACGTTCGTCTTCATGTTTTCTTCTGTGTGTGTAACGTTCATCTTTATGTGTTCTGTGTGTGTAACGTTCATCTTTATGTGTTCTGTGTGTGTTACGTTCATCTTTATGTGTTCTGTGTGTGTTACGTTCATCTTTGTGTTCTTCTGTGTGTGTTGCGTTCATCTTTATGTGTTCTGTCTGTGTTACGTTCATCTTTGTGTGTTCTTCTGTGTGTGTTACGTTCATCTTCATGTGTTCTTCTGTGTTACCGGTATTAACTGTAGTGCATTATTCATGAACCGTTTGTATTACAGCCGTCTGCCAATGTAGCGGAAGCTCTCTCACCTTGTCTACCACCAACGACTTCCAGTACTTCACGACTCCGGGGTACAACAATGGTGCTGGTTCCTATCAAAGGTAAAAATATGGTCTTTCTTAATTCTACTTTTTTTGTTTTTTTTGTTTTTTGTTTTTTGGCTTGATCTTTTAACTTGTAGCGTCCTTTCAACATGTCACTAAATCCAGTAATAATTATTTTGATAACGCACCCCAAAATGTACGACTGAATGTGTGTGTGCGTGCGACTAATATTTCTTGCAATAGTTGTCAATGTCATTTGTTTGGCTGCACCTATCCAAAGTGAATACGGTTTGAAAAAACGTCCTAGTAAGCAGGATTTTTACTGAGCATCAAATGATCGATTTAAAAGGAAAGCAAACCCGGATAACATATATGTAGTTTATTGTAATTGTACACTACACAAAAGTAATTTTCTTATCTCCAATCGGTAGGCTGTCGATACTTCTTATTTACATCCGGGGATTTAGATGTTAAAACACGCCTTTCATTCATTTTTCGTACGTTTTGATGTGTGAGCTTCGATACGTGACCGTGAAATTGACAGCTCCGGAAGTTGGGACGCTCTAACACTTTATCAACGAATCAACACCAATCTGTAGCTAGTCAGGCGGAAGAACATGGCTGATCAGTCAGCTGGTATTTCCTGTCTGACAAAATCACTTTCTTGTTAACTCAGATAAAAACCAAATCGTATTATGAAATCTCATTCAAAACAAACGATTAAATCGCAAGAGAAATAAACTTAAATTTTAACAGGAAATTATTATTAAAGGGATTGTGGAGATATCATAATGCCGTTCTTTGATTACTGTGCTACTTTAAAGTGACACTCGTAACCTTTACAAAACAGTTCTAAATGTAAAACTTTTACTATATAAAAAAGTCAGTTCAACATGATTTATAGATTGATGAAATGTTTGAAAGATATACTTCATGAATGCTTTTCATTACTGATACATGCACAACCTTTAAATATGTAGCAAAATGCTTATTAAGATATATCAACGAGTTAATTGTAAGACTTATCATACGTAAACATATAATGTACTACATAGGTAAGACATATATTATATATACTGGTTGATGTGCTAATTAATCAGCACATGTATAATATGCTACTTATTAAACTCCTGTAGAATGTGCTTCATTGTTAACTCTTGTATAATATTCTCCTGTAGAATGTGTTACATTGTTAACAAGTCTATAATATACTCCTGTAGAATGTGCTACATTGTTAACTCGTCTATAATATACTCCTGTAGAATGTGCTACATTGTTAACTAGTGTATAATATTCTCCTGTAGATTGTGCTATATTGTTAACTCATGTATAATATACTCCTGTAGAATGTGCTACATTGTTAACCCGTCTATAATATACTCCTGAAGAATGTGCTATATTGTTAACTCGTGTATAATATACTCCTGTAAATTGTACTACATTGTTAACCCGTCTATAATATACTCCTGTAGAATGTGCTACATTGTTAACCCGTCTATAATAAACTCCTGTAAAATGTGCTACATTGTTAACTCGTGTATAATATACTCCTGTAGAATCTGCTACATTGTTAGCTCGTGTATAATATACTCCTGTAGAATGTGTTACATTAGTAACTCGTCTATAATTTTCTCCTGTAGAATGTGCTACATTGTTAACTCGTGTATAATATACTCCTGTAAAATGTGCTACATTGTTAACCCGTCTATAATATACTCCTGTAGAATGTGCTACATTGTGAACTCGTGTATAATATACTCCTGTAGAATGTGCTATATTGTTAACTCATGTATAATATACTCCTGTAAAATGTGCTACATTGTTAACCCGTCTATAATAAACTCCTGTAAAATGTGCTACATTGTTAACTCGTGTATAATATACCCCTGTAGAATGTGCTACATTATTAACTCATGTATAATATACTCCTGTAGAATGTGCTACATTATTAACTCATGTATAATCTATAATATACTCCTGTAGAATGTGTTACATTGTTAACTCGTGTATAATATACTCCTGTAGAATGTGCTATATTGGTAACTCATGTATAATATACTCCTGTAGAATGTGCTACATTATTAACTCATGTATAATCTATAATATACTCCTGTAGAATGTGTTACATTGTTAACTCGTCTATAATATACTCCCGTAGAATCTGCTACATTGTTAACTCGTATATAATATACCCCTGTAGAATGTGCTACATTGTTAACTCGTCTAAAATATACTCCTGTAGAATGTGCTACATTGTTAACTAGTGTATAATATTCTCCTGTAGATTGTGCTATATTGTTAACTCATGTATAATAGACTCCTGTAGAATGTGCTACATTGTTAACTCGTGTATAATATACTCCCGTAGAATGTGTAATATACTCCTGTAGAATGTGCTACATTGTTAACTCGTGTATAATATTCTCCTGTAGAATGTGCTACATTGTTAACTAGTGTATAATATTCTCCTGTAGATTGTGCTATATTGTTAACTCATGTATAATATACTCCTGTAGAATGTACTAAATTGTTAACTCGTCTATAATATACTCCCGTAGAATCTGCTACATTGTTAACTCGTATATAATATACACCTGTAGAATGTGCTACATTGTTAACTCGTCTATAAACTACATTGTTAACTCGTCTATAATATACTCCTGTATAATGTGCTACATTGTTAACTCGTGTATAATATACTCCCGTAGAATGTGCTACATTGTTAACCCGTCCATAATATACTCCTGTAGAATGTGCTACATTGTTAACTCGTGTATAATATACTCCTGTAAAATGTGCTACATTGTTAACCCGTCTATAATAAACTCCTGTAAAATGTGCTACATTGTTAACTCGTGTATAATATTCTTCTGTAGAATGTGCTACATTGTTAACTCGTTTATAATATACTCTACATTGTTAACTCGTCTATAATATTCTCCTGTAGAATGTGCTACATTGTTAACCCGTCTATAATATACTCCTGTAGAATGTGCTACATTGTGAACTCGTGTATAATATACTCCTGTAGAATGTGCTACATTGTGAACTCGTGTATAATATACTCCTGTAGAATGTGCTACATTATTAACTCATGTATAATCTATAATATACTCCTGTAGAATGTGTTACATTGTTAACTCGTGTATAATATACTCCTGTAGAATGTGCTACATTATTAACTCATGTATAATATACTCCTGTAGAATGTGCTAAATTGTTAACTCGTCTATAATATACTCCCGTAGAATCTGCTACATTGTTAACTCGTATATAATATACACCTGTAGAATGTGCTACATTGTTAACTCGTCTATAATATACTCCCGTAGAATGTGCTACATTGTTAACTCGTGTATAATATACTCCTGTAGAATGTGCTACATTGTTAACTCGTCTATAATATACTCCCGTAGAATGTGCTACATTGTTAACTCGTGTATAATATACTCCTGTAGAATGTGCTACATTGTTAACTCGTGTATAATATTCTCCTGTAGAATGTGTTACATTGTTAACTCGTCTATAATATACTCCCGTAGAATGTGTTACATTGTAAACTCGTGTATAATATACTCCAGTAGATTGTGCTACATTGTTAACCCGTCTATAATATACTCCCGTAGAATGTGTTACATTGTTAACTCGTGTATAATATACTCCTGTAGAATGTACTACATTGTAAACTCGTGTATAATATACTCCCGTAGAATGTACTACATTGTTAACTCGTGTATAATATACTCCTGTAGAATGTACTACATTGTTAACTCGTCTATAATATACTCCTGTAGAATGTGCTACATTGTTAACTCGTCTATAATATACTCCTGTAGAATGTGCTACATTGTTAACTCGTCTATAATATACTCCTGTAGAATGTGCTACATTGTTAACTCGTGTATAATATACTCCTGTAGAATGTGCTACATTGTTAACTCGTCTATAATATACTCCTGTAGAATGTGCTACATTGTTAACTCGTGTATAATATACTCCTGTAGAATGTGCTACATTGTTAACTCGTCTATAATATACTCCTGTAGAATGTGCTACATTGTTAACTCGTGTATAATATACTCCTGTAGAATGTGCTACATTGTTAACTCGTCTATAATATACTCCTGTAGAATGTGCTACATTGTTAACTCGTGTATAATATACTCCTGTAGAATGTGCTACATTGTTAACTCGTCTATAATATACTCCTGTAGAATGTGCTACATTGTTAACTCGTGTATAATATACTCCTGTAGAATGTGCTACATTGTTAACTCGTCTATAATATACTCCTGTAGAATGTGCTACATTGTTAACTCGTCTATAATATACTCCTGTAGAATGTGCTACATTGTTAACTCGTGTATAATATACTCCTGTAGAATGTGCTACATTGTTAACCCGTCTATAATATACTCCTGTAGAATGTGCTACATTGTTAACTCGTGTATAATATACTCCTGTAGAATGTGCTACATTGTTAACCCGTCTATAATATACTCCTGTAGAATGTGCTACATTGTTAACTCGTGTATAATATTCTTCTGTAGAATGTGCTACATTGTTAACTCGTTTATAATATACTCCTGTAGAATGTGTTACATTAGTAACTCGTCTATAATTTTCTCCTGTAGAATGTGCTACATTGTTAACTCGTGTATAATATACTCCCGTAGAATGTGTTACATTAGTAACTCGTCTATAATTTTCTCCTGTAGAATGTGCTACATTGTTAACTCGTGTATAATGTGCTGCATAGTTATCACATGTATATTGTTCTACTTTACAGTTATAATTATTGAATTAGAAAATCGAACTAGTAATCTAAGGCACAACCGTTGCTCGAGAGGATGTTTTTATTTGTATCATTTTAGTCTTAGAGATGTAACGATATGCGTTGCTTAACAATTTGAGTCTATTGGTATCTATTGACATTAATCAAGTGTTATAAATAAATATTGACCACTTAATCAGACCTGACCATACTACCAATATTATTTATGTTAAAGAGACGTACTCGACATGCCCATTTTCTGTGTGTGTTACAATATGTATGTTGACATTTAGACATTCACAGACGAAATTTTTAAACAGTCCTTTGTTATTATTGGGGTTTAAGATATGGCATGGAGAACAAAATTCCTAAAGTACTTATCATACAAAGGTATATCAGTAGTGGTCACTTGATGGTCAAAGGTTCAATAACACGTGCTCCGGATCATGGTCAATTATCTATTTAAGCAGAGTGTATGACGGATATACTTGCAGGATTTCACTGTTGCCAATCAGCTGTTGCTGTAACGTGTAATAATATTTGATGGCTTACAACATTCACGTATTTGCTTAAAGATCAAAATCATGTTTATATTCTTAAAGTCAGTTTTATTTTTAAAGCGTTAAATGCCATTATAAGTTTGTACATAATCTAATTCATAATCTAAAGTGCTTCATTTAAGGTCGAAATGTTTTAGAAGTGTGTATCTGGTTTTTGTATGAAAGTGACAGCTTTAGTTATAAATAGCACTATTCTTGAACCATACCTGTCACGATGCCTTTTTTATGAGTTACAGTGTAAGAGTGTTTACCATGACGTTGACATTAACAACAGAATATACTGTAAAAGAGGACATGTTTGCGGTTTGGAAATGTTTTCGCTTTTCCGCATTACGTAAATAAGCGCGAAATACCTACGCGCAAATTATTTATTTATAGTTTATGAATTATAGATAAATAGAATATATAGATATGAAAATAATTGCCATCGCGATAATTTCCAGAACGCAATCCAATTGGAAGGGTCACAACCCGAACATTGTCATACGCGAAATTTTTCACTTTTAAAGGAAATATGCCCGTAATACAATTTTAGTATAACTATTTCATGCGAAGTTAAAATATCGCAAGAGTTTCTGGTATAAGATCACATGTATGACATAAATGTGTATTTGTATTACGTTCATCATTCTAACGAATTCGTGTTTTAACGAAACGTATTATACGAATTCATAAGCAATGATATACGCTACATCACATCATTGTCGTGGATAGTTTTTACTTGATAGTAATTCACAGCGATTAGAATCCGCAAAATATGCAATAATATGAAAATCAACATTTCAAATTACTTTCGTTTTATTATACGAGATGGTATAATTCGCAATGAACTCTTCCTCGCGAAGATTCAAAGCATTCTTCTTACGGAATCCCAATATTTTACAGTATCTGATCACTTTGAGTACGAACTTACTCTAAAAAACGCTTCCGACATTGCTGTAAGGTTTTCTCTATAAATTCTAAGCGACTTTTGGCAAAAACAATGTCTGATTCGGTCATAGATTACACCTGTCTTAATTGGTAAAGAAATTCAAATAATAAATAATTTGAAATGTATCACGCTTTGGCACAATCTTCTACGTATCAGAAATGCTTCTTACTGGTAATGAGTTATGCTATCACTGCCGGGATATGAGAAGCAGCAAGAGCTAAAAGCAGACGAACTTCTTGTGTACTCAACACCTAACACGGTTTATAGACGATAGACTGATGTTTATCATTGTTATACGGATATAAAGGTATATCACATTACAACGCCAGGTAGTGTTGTCCTAAAAATGACTCTTATCCACTGTAATCAGATTAAATGGATTTTAGACAAGGGTACTTGGTCGTTATCTATGAAAACCACAGAGATAGCACGCATATTTAACTTAAAGACAACAGACATTCCGTCACGTTTTATTGGTAAACAAAGATAGTCGTGTATCTATTTATTGGTAAACAAAGATAGTCGTGTATCTATTTATTGGTAAACAGAGATAGTCGTGTATCTATTTATTGGTAAACAAAGATAGTCGTGTATCTATTTATTGCTAAACAGAGACAGTCGTGTATCTATTTATTGGTAAACAGAGATAGTCGTGTATCTATTTATTGGTAAACAAAGATAGTCGTGTATCTATTTATTGGTAAACAAAGATAGACGTGTATCTATTTATTGGTAAACAGAGCTACTCGTGTATCTTTGTATTCTGTGTGTCTGATAGCTTCGCCTAGATGTACAGAGCTTTGTTAGTGTAACATTTGTACAAAATCTAAATAAAACTTATGTTCTAAACTCATTTTAAGTATTTCTCAATATTTCATCACGAAAGAAACGTTTACTCTGCTATAGAATTTTGTTTTGTGTCCGTTTATTTATTTTATTTTGTTAATTTTCATATATTTATTTAATGTTTTACTTATGTTGTCTTCTCTGAACCTTCTTTTATCTATTCGAACCAAGTCTGAAGTCTGCTTTTTACACTGTGGTGTAATATTTTTATCTGTTTAACAAAACTGCATGTTTATGAATATAAAATGGTTATTATCTAGAAGAACAATGACAACAAACTATTGAAACTGGGAAATTGAAAATTTGTTAACTGCTTATAATGATAAAAATAACAGGGCTTTAAGAAAAATGCATGCATTTATTTTTTCGAAGAAATCTTGACACTTATTCGCGAATTTCTATTTTTGGCCTTGCACAACCTGAATACCTTATTCATTGACCTTGTATGAATAGTTGTTTGTGTGATACTAATACCGACCGACGCCTTATTAATTCACGCGAAGATAACGATCACGTGAAAATAAGTAACCAACAGTTATTTGCTTTATAAACATACAATTGTAACACCTGCCAATCAGAATTGAACTAGACTCTAAACATAGAAAGTAAAACGTGATTATTTTATGATGCCTATGGCTATTACTTGTACAATATATATTACTACTTAAGGGTAATACGATTTCGATATCGTAATAACGCTTACAGTATATGTGTTGAATTACATATACTTGTACTTGTACATACCAAGTACATTTGTGTTGGCTTACTGTATCTATTACCCAGTTTCTTTTTAAGATACAAGGTGGTAGACTCTGTTGGTAGATTCTCCAGTCCTCGAGGTTTTCCGGAACCTTGATGGCCAAAATTATCACTTTTGAGTAGTGGCACGGTTAATAATATACACATTTAACTATTTATTGTTCATTTGAAAATAAACAGTAGTCCTCTAATGCTTTTTAAAATTCATATAATTAAGAGGTTCTATGCATCTCCTATACTTGAATTACACATTTTGTCCCTAGCATCCCCAATGAGCCCTAAAAAGACAAAACAGTGACATTCATTTTTGGCATACATTGTACTTTATCCGTGATCAAAGTTTGTTTGTGCAATCAAGTGAGTCTTACGTGCATCATTAAGGTTTTATGCTTAATACTATTTGAACTTGTCAAACAAGCTGAATAATCACATCTGTTATGAATCTTTTATCGAGTTGAACATGTAGAGTTGATGAATTTCATTTCAACGAAATTGTCAGTCAAACAAATCTTCTTTTATTTACGTCCAGAAACAGACACGCTGGTGTTTTATATCATGAAAATATCTGCATACGTTCCTATAGTTGATAATATTGTGTTAATTGATGCCAGGTGATATACAACGGTTATGTTATTGTTTTAAGCTGATGATTTCATAACAAGGACATCAAAATACTGATTCCATTGGGCGCCCATTTTATGTTTTATAAACGAAGCTATGAAATATATTGCTTGATCTGAAAATAGAGTGAATGTAGCTTACCTTTCCTCTTCCAGTGACCTGTCGTGTTCCTGGATCCTTGATGGTGGGTCGTCAAGCTGGACTGTGTTCTTATTCGTCGAAAACTATGACGTTTCATGTTCAGGGGATTTCATTGACATATACGATGGCAAGTAGATCATACGTTAACTAAACAAATATGTCATTTGTTATTACATTTTATTGCAGTATTATGTATAATTCATTCAGTGTTTTTTTTATAAATTTATCGGTAATAAACAAACCACACCTATCAGTAAACAAGATGAACTAGCTGGAATTCTAAACATGAGACAATATTGACAGAAGGATAAAAATAATAACATATTTAAAAGTGATGATTTCTTTTTCCCCGTACTGTCAATAACAGAAGAGTGTTACAATGAAAATGTCAATGACTGCATTTTAGTGCTCGTTATGCTTATAAGACTTTTTTGTTGTTGTTGCGTAGGTAACGCAACCTCGTCCACGGCGTTGGTCACGGCCTTGTGTGGGACGAGTCAGTCGGGGGTATATGCGTCAACCCAGCGTTACGTAAGAGTAGACTTTACGTCAGATTCATCCAATCAAGGCGCAGGATTCAGTCTGGCTTTTATGAAAGCTGCTGACCTATGTGAGTACTGCCATCTCAATATACATGTACTTTTTCGCAAAATTGATTGACGAAATAGGTTTAATATATTACTTATTAGTGTAAACACTCGATACTTTAGAAGTGAAGAAGCCAGTGGTGAGACCATTCGCGTAGATATACAACAGTTGTACAGTATTGTATTGGTCAGTTGAAATCGTTAAATGGTGAAAGACACCATTGCAACGTTTATAATGGTGAAGATGAGTCTTGGATTTTTAAATCTATAACTTATTCCTTCTATATAGATGATGAAGCAAAAATAATGGATTTTTTTCAGGTTTATAGTTACTTCCTTGTAAAGGTATTCATGTCTCATTTTGATACATTGCATTTAACATAATTATTTCATTAAAACACTGTTAAAGGAAAAGGATTGGCAGAGGATAGCTGCAGAGATCGATCCATGTTGCATTTGTTTATTTTTGAATTTCTGTTTTTAAATTAAATAAATGAATCAGCTACAATTTTGTAAGATGCTTAGCACGATATGATTTAAATGTAAAAGTTTTTTTATGACAAAAATGAAGTAATGATACATCTTAAGTGGATGGTACTCATTATCTTAATAAGCGAATGCAACAGAGCTGATGTAAATTGTTCCACACTGACTTGAAACTTTATAACATTCAAAACTGTTGACCTTGATGTAATGATTAAATCAACAGCATAGAGTACAACTAGATAAAACACTGGATACAGCTGCAAATACTTGCAACATAAATTAAGTTATTCTATGTGCCTTTAATGCATTAATTATAACGTCACAGCATACAGGGTCTAATCAAATTCATATGACAACACTATCCATTTAAAATCCCAAACATATACATATAGAATTCAATAGTATCAAAATGTTCCTTAATCTCATCAATCAAATAATGCAAGGTAAAGGTGATATCTTGTTTTTTGTTTATTTTACTGCTATATACGTATAACCTCATGTGTTATTTATGTTGTTAATTCAGCCGGAAGTGGATGTTCTGGTGAAGAGACTCTCGCCGCTTCATCCACCCCTCAATATATCACCTCCCCAAACTTTCCGGGGGAATACACTGTGTAAGTGTTCTTATTTAAAACGGAACATCTATCAATATATAACGTTATAATTTTCTTTTTTAATATTATAATGTAGTTTAAAACAAGATTTTTTTATTTTTATTTAATTGTTTATTTTTCGAGTGACATTTCTATAACTGACTTGAAAACATTGTTACATCATTATGTAAACTACAAACTTTTCCTTTTCACTGAGGGAAACAGTTCTTTTTATGAAACAAGTCAAGCACGATATGAATAGTACATGTATATGTATCGAGTATGAAAATATAAAAAAAAAAACAGAAAATACCATTTTCTTACAAATGTTAATGACTAAATAAACAATTTTTAAAATATATATTCTTTATAGTAAAACTACTTACAAATGGACAAGTTCATAAAGAACATATTTAAGATGACATATTTTATCTCGAAACGTATGCTGAGTTGTCATTCGTTCGTTTCGTTCCAGTAATTCCAACTGTCGTTGGGTAGTGACGGCTCCAATAGGTACGGTTTCCTTGGAGATTATCTTCAGTGATGTGGAAACGTCAACAAACTGTGCATTTGATTCATTAGAACTTTATTCTGGTGAGTGATTTTGCTAATATTTACCTCATTTATATACTGAACCAAAACCCATAATAATATCAATGATTTGTAACTACAATTTTACATGAAACCATTTTGCACATTTAACAATGTGTATGACTGGGTATTACTAAATGTAGGAACGAGAAAGGAAAGGAAGGGAAACAAAATAATCTCAGTTCCGTTACGAAATTTAGAAACGAAACGAAATGAAGTTCGTTTCTTTTCGTTTCGCTTATTCCGTTTCGCTGAATGTTTTTCCGTTTCAATTTCGTTACTGATTGGAGGTCATTTCGATTCGTTTCTATTTCGCTATTACTTTTAGCAATACCAAGTATGAATATAGACCACAGATGCTGTGTGTTAAATGTTCGCGTTTTTCTATTAATGCGTACATCAATATATTATATATCAACGTTGATATTCTATTTTGGATTGAACATGTACAAAAGGGAAATGTTAAGCCTGTTATTATATCCATAAATCTGCTAATTTGCTAATCTGCTAAACGTAACATGAACTCCGAACAGTAGTATAATAACAGCACTAGGGTAAGACCCGCCCCGAGCTGAGAACCAAGACCTAGGGATAATGCCACACGACACAAATGAATATCAAAATTGAGTAATAATAACTCAATCGTATTTACTATTATATTACTAAAACGCCTTTATACAATTTATGGTTCATTAGAATCTGATGCGAAAATTAGCTTATCATGTATGCTGAAACTAGATAAACATGTATATAGGGTATATTCGTTAGATAATCATATTCAGTAAACAGATGCTTATAACTTTCTAATCGGTTTTTGGACGAGAAACACTGTTTTTAAATGTGTACAGTGTAGGCCTATACACAAACAACAATAATCATGTATTGTATTGTTGCATTGGCGTGCGAGAGGAATAACAGCCACAGACTTTTTGACCGTAACTTAATTCCGCAAAAGAAAATATTCCTCTTCCTAATACCGCATATGAATTATTAGCTAAAAAAAAACATTGTATTTTACTGCTAAATAAATACATTTACAGTATATTAAAGATTTGAAAATTATCAGTTCAGTTGATATGTCTATATGGATATTAATATTTGAAACAACAGCTTATTGTGAAGTTTTATTCAAAATTAACCAGTTAGTATAAAATTCTACACAATAACAAACTGACCACTTCGACTGTAATAAATAAAGATATTTATACAATTCTATTGTCACAGGAACATACGTTTGTGAGAAAACAAAGATCTTGTCGGCATGTACTCCACATCCAAATGGAGTGACAGCCTCTTATACCAGCAACGGAACAAGTTTCCTCGTCAAATTCGCAGCAGACGCCTCCCTCAGCTTCCGTGGCTTCGTCATAAAGTACTCTGAAATAGCTCCAGTAGTGACCACATCGTCATCTGCTGTCGTCTCATCTATTTCATCTGAAGGTAAGTCTCATTAGCTCCAGTACTGACCACATCGTCATCTGCTGTCGTCTCATCTATTTCATCTGAAGGTAAGCTTCATTAGCTCCTGTTATAACTACATCGTCATCTGCTGTCGTCTCATCTATTTTATCTGAAGGTAGCCTCATTAACTCCTGTTGTGACTACATCGTCATCTGCTGTCGTCTCATCTATTTTATCTGAAGGTAGCCTCATTAACTCCTGTTGTGACTACATCGTCATCTGCTGTCGTCTCATCTATTTTATCTGAAGGTTAGCCTCATTAACTCCAGTAGTGACCACGTCGTCATCTGCTGTCGTCTCATCTCTTTCATCTGAAGGTAAGTCTCATTAGCTCATGTTGTGACCATAACATCATCTGCTGTCGTCTCATCTATTTCATCTGAAGGTAAGTCTCACAAGCTCCTGTTGTGACCATAACATCATCTGCTGTCGTCTCATCTATTTTATCTGAAGGTAAGTCTCACAAGCTCCTGTTGTGACCACATCATCATCTACTGTCGTCTCATCTATTTCATCTGAAGGTAAGTCCCATTATCTCCAGTAGTGACCACGTCGTCATCTGCTGTCGTCTCATCTCTTTCATCTGAAGGTAAGCCTCATAAAGGAGACACATTCTGAAAACAAATTAGCTGTGAATCTCCGAAAAAATGGCTTGGCGATTTTATACAAGAATTCATTTTTTTGTATGTTGAGATATATGAAAAAAGGGGGAGAAGTATAAAGAGGATTAAAATGTACAAGTTTAGATTGGAATATTATCCATATAATTAACCAGATAGAAGTGGGGTTTTTTGTGTGGTTTTTGTGGGTTTTTTTTATATAGAATTACTGTATACAAGTACAGGTTATCAACAGTGTCCTATGTTTGGAAATTGCACTAATGTTAATTCGACAAATGGGTAGGAGTCCAAAATGTATTTTCAAAAGTCTAATTAACTCTCGGTCGATTGTAAGTAAAAAAAGCTTGGTGTTGGCAAGGGAAGCAGTAACGGGATCAGAAGGTGTCATGCATTAAACGCGATCGCATTCAATAGAATGTTTGATCGTTTCGCATTCAATAGAATGTTTGATCGTTTCGCTAAGTCCCGTGGTAAATAGCGGTACGTTGCAGAAATATTTCTTTCAATATCTTGCCAAATTTTATGAAATTTGATAACTAAATGTACATATTATTTGAAGAAAATATGTACAAGAGGTCTTATAAGATTTGGGTATATCTAAGTACCTTTCAATGCTTTTACAAATAAGGTTATATCCTTAATTAACGAAAACTTTGTAAAACATTGTAAATATATATTTACTATTTTTTTCCCATTAAAAGTAATATATACACAATATGAATATAACTTTACATTGTGAATATAACACCTACATTATCAATATTTCCTATACACAATCATTAATCATTATAAATATCATTCATACGTTATATATAAAGTATTCATTATACGTTTACCTTATACATTGACAATTATACATTATAACTATAACTTATACATGAAATATAAACTTCATACATCGCAAATAAAACAAATGTACAATTTTTTTTATCAAATAATGTACTGTGTTAGCCAGTGAGTATACCCTTGTAATATTTGTTTGCGTATTTACCGATGTAATATGACCTATCACCCCTGTGATTGGTTGTAAGTTTCAATTGTTTCAATTTGGACGTCACGCCAAGGACAAGTACATGACTTTACAGACTTAAGCACTGGAGTCAAAATGGAGGCTTTTTACATTTTAAGATTGCATGAAAACTGTTGTTTTACACGAACAAATGCCACAAATCTTGATTATGCGAAAAAGGATCTTACACTCGTTTCCATTTCATATGAAATTTAAGCTCGCCAGAAACTCGCTGAATTGAAAAAAAAATCTTATTTATCAGATACTTTTCTTTGAAAGTAAAGTTAAAATTGACAACAATGAGTAAGCGTGCCATTGTATTGTTTTGTGTTTATATAACTAGGCACTTGTCCGGGACCTAAATAACACACTTTTGTATTTAATCCAATTCAACTTGATTCCGTAAGTTGTATTGATTAATGCCGTTATATAACATAGCTTATACTACCAACACAACAAGTGGTTTGGACTCATCGTCCTGAACGCTCGGTAGAGCCGGGAGGTTAATAGGATCTTCTTGTTTTGGAGGGCTGTCAAAGTCGGTACTTTGATTTCTAATGTTCCGTTACGGATTAGCAGAAGATTTAACCCTAAACAGTGTGAACAGTTGTGTGAATAAGTCACGACCTTTAGTCAGCACGGCGGTGTTACGTATTCGGGAATTCTATTAGTACACCGCGTCATGCAGGGCTGATCAGCGAGGGAAAGGATGAACGAATAACATTCTTTTGTAATACGTGTAGTAATGACATAGTCATACTTCTACCCCTTTGTACTTTGAAAAAGTGGTTTTCTCAATATGTAGGGGATCTCAAACAATATCCATCAGCTTATTAATTCAAATAAAATTGAAACGAATTTGAGGTTTTCTTTATCAAATGATTTATTGAACTATATACTGTGTCGAAAAAAACATTTTTGTCTTTTGATGAATAATGGATGAATTTATAATGTCGTTTTTGTTACCTCACGCGTACTACTGAACACACGGTTCTTCTAATATAGAGATTGTTTAATGTTATTGTTTTAAGAACGTATTTGTAATTAGTCAGATCATAATTATGGTAGCTACGTGAATAATAAACTGAAATCAATGAATAACTTCATAATAAATCAGAACTATCGGAAAATAATGTCCTCGAGTTTCATACATTATTAAGTTGACATTTTTCTGTGTAGAGAAGTCTATACACAATTGTCCCAGATTCCTCTCAGCGTGGTGAGAATCAAGAGAAAAGTGTTGACATTTCAATTTCCTTGATGACATAGGGTACAAGAAACAGTTTATCTGCTCAGAATCCTTAATTTTCGAGTCTTCTCAATTATTTTTGCTATGATTTCATATAGAACAGTATTTAGATTTTGTCTTAGTATACAATACTTACGTAACTAACATACTTTACCGTTATATTCACAGGTGATTTTTACCTTGGTCTTTACATTGGCCTCGGATCAGGAGCAGGGGGCGCATTACTTTTCGTCGGGATGATAACTCTAATCCGTCATTTTTGCATGTCACAAAAGGGAGTTTCTCCAAATGTGAAACACGTGGAACCTCTGTCGTTAAGATCAACGCCGTCCACCCGAAATAATTCCATTTGCGGTTCATCATCCTCTTCTGGAGATAGTACAACCCGTCAGAAGAGCTTTTTGTGTTCCACTCCTATCAGTCCGGGTTCAGGGTCACTTATGTTGGACATTCAGAGACGAAAGTCAAGTCACCATAACAACGGATTCGTTCACTGACGTCATTCATCCGAAAATTGCGTTATTTAAAACAAAACTGTATGCAATGACAAAAGTTAACAACGTTTTTTTGTCAGCAGAACAATATGCACACATAATGCCATAGAGAAGGGATATCATCGTTTGCTATCAGCATTCATGAAGAAGTACATTTTTAAGATTATTTTTGCATTGAAATCATAATCTAATTCATTAATTGTGTGTATAAAGGTACTATCGTTCCTTAAAATTCTGATTTATTGGGACTCACGTTATGAACTTCTGCATTACAGGAAATTTTCGCCTGTAAAACTTTCCGCCTTCGCCCAAGAAATCAAGTTTCGCCCAGTGTTAATTTAGCCCTTTATATTACTTAATTTCGCTGTAATGATAAATTCGCCATCATTACGGAAGGCGAAAACGGGGAAAGTTAAACTACAATGAAAATGTCCTTGTATACGGTATAGCGTTCCAAAGATATTAACTTCGTTCAAATTCTAATCTAATTGTAGAATTAGTGACGTTGATACAGGGGCCCATGTCATTTTAGCCCGGGTAAGGTGTTTAAATGATATCTAGAGAATATGTTTTTATAGGGACAGTTGCAATATTATTGTTGACATCATCACTTTAACATTTTACAATATCATACTACGATTTTTCATCGATCATTTCATGACAAGATGAAGTGCTATCTGGTATTTATCATGGAAACATATGAATCTTCATAAATTATTCATGTTTTTTCTGTCAAAGTGTTTGTTATTGTTTATCATGTTGAGTTACACGTGCTACTCGTTTCCATGGATATTATTGTGAAGCTGTCAAATAAATGTCTACCACAGATATAACTGTTTGTTGTTTGTGAAGTACATTCCTAAAAATGGATTTTTTTGCAGTTCATAATGTTACAAGGGTAATACAGTGTTATTTTATGTGGTATGTGTGTAAGGCTTTCTCCTTTTCCAATTTCTGTGATTATTATTTTTGATGCAAAACTACGAAGCATCGTGTTAAGATATAATAAATTGATATATTTTGACAGAAGATTCAAGAACGGCAATTGTTTGCTGAGTTGCATTATCTTATCTTGATGTAAAAATATCATATTTTGGAGAAAGAAAGATATAATTACAAGGTAACCACAGTGTCAAAAGACAATAACTTGTTACTTCCGTTTTTCATCTTAAATACCATACATTTTACTATTATCGAATATTTTGAAAGCAGATTCAATAGAAAAAAAATGTTTTCTGAGTTGCATAATCTTGCTCAACCTAGATACAAGATCAATAATCTATGGGTATCCTTCTAACTTCTCAATAGATCGAAAAGAATTGCATTTAACAGTAAAGGAAAGCTTTGAAACTTGGAAAGAGCTACAATTGTATATTAAACCGAAAACAAACACATGACATAGCAGAAGTAGTATTGGATAGTAGTAGTAGATTAGTATATAGTCAAAATACAAGCTGTTCAGATAGTTATGAGAAAACTTTGAAATTGGCCAATGGTTAGATAGCCTGATTGCGTCGTTGATGGAAGGATGAGGGTTAATTCAGAACGAATACAATCACCTTGAATACAAACGTCTTAGCTAGCAGGAGTATTTCAGAGTGTTATGCAAATCTGAAGCAGGCACCTTGGATGACAGGATGATTTATGGGTAGCAGAGAGTTACAAAGCATCTTGAATAGCAGGACGAGTTATAGGTTGTGGATGAAAGGACGCATTCCTTTGGTGAAGCCTACATGAAAAACCAGATTCATGAACGTTTTTTATAAGTTAAGAAAACCCCTAAGCCTAATTGTACCCATAGGAAAGCACTGCTGAGGTTAAGGAAAATTCCTTCTAAATTTTTCCATAACTTCTGCAATGCTTCCTATGAATAATTTCAAGATAGGCCATTTCCTAAAAAAAAGGAACGTGCATCAAATCAGTATATATACACAGAATTTCTAGTGCAATACGGAAAATTACCAAATATACTGAAGGAGTAACATGCAGATATCGAACATAACGGTGAAGATATTGACCAATCAAGACGCTAGAAACGATACCAGTGAACCTAACGGTGAAGATATTGACCAATCAAGACTTTAGAGACAATACCAGTGAACATAACGGTGAAGATATTGACCAATCAAGACGCTAGAGACGATACCAGTGAACATAACGGTAAAGATATTGACCAATCAAGACGCTAGAGACGATACCAGTGAACATAACGGTGAAGATATTGACCAATCAAGACGCTAGAGACAATACCAGTGAACATAACGGTGAAGATATTGACCATTCAAGACGCTAGAGACAATACCAGTGAACATAACGGTGAAGATAAGTTCAATGTCAAGGATAGAATCGAGGTCTGTCACTACCCACACATGGGTACAACTGTATGCTTTAAATTTGTTTATTGCTGGAATAAGTATTTTGTCGAAACTCATGCACATCCATGTAGCACTCTATATTGGGTATGACATATCGTCTTTTATACGCGAGTTGTTTCCAGACTTAATTCTATTAAACTGTATTGAACTCCAATCACTAGGCTTAACCTCTATTTCGGACACATAGTCTTGTGTTCTGTCCAGAATAAAATACACAGTAAAGTTTGCTAACAAAACAGTTCAAATAAATAAACTTCCAAATAATACATACTATTGAGAAATCTTAATCACTTATGCTGAACTTTGACCTGCAGACTTTTAGAATTTTTAAAAAAAATGCCATCAATTGTTTTTGTCTGCTGCATACAATTTCATGCTGTATCGCCAAATTAGGAGAAAGAATGTCAGTTGGTATAACTAGGATGTTGTGACCTAGACATTAACCAATTAATATGGTACATCAACTGTCAATCACTTCAGGATCATGTTTTCTGTTTGTAACACAAATACATCTTACAAGACAAAAGAGTAGCAAAATGGGTAAATGGATATTCATATAAGTGCATAAAACTAAAAGCATTAACACATGACACATACTTTACTTCTAGCAGCCATTATAGAGTTTCTCAATATATTTGTCAATTTGGCTGTTAATGCTTGAACGAATTATTGCTAAATTTTATTGGAATAAAATGAGGAAAAGTAAAACCCAATATAAAGACCACAGCATTAACGTTCAATGACAAAATAAAAACTCAAAAGTCAGTTTGAATAGATCACATAGGGAATGGAGGAGACATAAAAAACAGAAGGAGGAAACGCAAAATGGACAGGGGAGACACCAAAACAACAGGAAAGGTAACAGGGACAGTGGAGTAACACAAAACTAAAGGAAA